ATAACTTAAAAAAAAAATATTAAAAACGAAAGGGAAGCATCCGAAAATGCAAGAAATGGAAAGAGCGTAAGAAAGTAAAAAAGAAAGAAATTAGGAATGTCAGAAAATAAACTACCCATTACAGACCCCATGAGATCGTTTGATGGAGGAGACACCGACAATTTTAGCCGGCATCACATGGCGTCATATTTGTCTCACCATTTTATTGAGACTCCGGTGAAAAGTGACGAAGTCCTCTAGCGGAAATTCCCAATGTACGGCGAAATGAGGGTGAGTCGGGGGGGGGGGGATTGACTTTTGGGAACCGTTGTCATAGAAGGGCGGGGGGGGAATGAGGGAGATGTCAAGGGGGGCAGGGCAGTGGTAAAGCTTTGGGCCAATTCAGCACACATGGCGTCATAGTTGTCTCACCATTTTATTGAGACTCCGGTGAAAAGTGACGAAGTCCTCTAGCGGAAATTCCCAATGTACGGCGAAATGAGGGTGAGTCGGGGGTGGGGGGGATTGACTTTTGGGAACCGTTGTCATAGAATGGCAGGTGGGGAATGAGGTAGATGTCAAGCGGGGCAGAGCAGTGTTAAAGCTTTGGGCCAATTCAGCACACTCTGATTTAAAAAAATAAAAAGCTCTCTAGTTAGTGTTGGGTTCTTTTTCATAATGAGTTTTCTTCTTTTTGCTTTGATGGGTGAGGGGGGTATACCAGCAAGCGGTGAAGACTGCTGATGGTTCATGTAGAGGAGCCGCATTAACACAGTCAATCCTCTGTCGACATGGTCACCCCCCCCCCCCCCCCCCCCCCCCGGCCCCCCCAGGCTCTGAATCCGACCAGCTTCGCAGGTTGGATGACCGGCATTCTGGTCAAAGTAAGTAATCAAACTAACTGTGTTTATTTGATGTCATTTGGATCAATATTCCAACGACTTTACCGCTCGTGTGTTATTTCGAAGTTCCCATTGTTGCCATTTCTCATGCTGGGAACCACACGTGCTCCAAATATATATATATAGCTCAGCTTGAAGTAGAGAGCGTAGAAAAAATACTTTCTCTTACTATGATAAGAACTTATACATTAGCCCCACATGAACGATTATTCTGGATTTCAAAAATACAAATATACCAATTTCTAGCCAGCCCATAATCTCGATTGGTATCACATTTTTAATTATTTTTTTTTCAGGGGGGGGGGTTCCATAAACATTTCATAAAGATAACTTCAAAGAAGAAAAACGTGCAGAAACATAAGATGTAGAGTTTGACCAGATCTAGTTCATGATAAACATGGCATCTGAATGACACGCGTCTGACATGACAACAACAGCAAAAAAATGATAGACGCTCTCAACGACCTTAACACATACACCATTTACTTTATGCTGTATGACGGGGGCGTTCAGTGGGGGGAAAAACATGTTTGTTGTATTTCCTACCAATCCGGAAAACAGATTACCTTTTACGGTAGAAGGATCTCTGCCAAAGAAAAACACTGCAATATATATATATTTTTTTTTTACAACTAACTTTTCAACACTGACATTTTTTTTAAAAAGATAAATGATAAATGATAACATGCTGAAAAGATGATGTTTTATATCAGGAAGTTTTGGGAAAGGGAACACGTAACGTAATGGATGTAAGCAAATACACTTTAGTAATTTTCAATTTATTATTTTCTTATACAACTTTTTTTTTTTTTAAAATGGTATTCGAATAATGTTTGCTGTTTATAGGGAGGTCTAGCCAAGTTTTAGAACCCTTGAAAATAAGGCGAATGTTAGATTTAATGGAGACTTCTACCACTAAGGGCTTGTTCAATCATTCTTTCACTTAGAGGTGTAGCTAAAGGGGGGGGGGGAAGACGGGAGGTGTCAGATTTCCCCCGGCGCCAGACTTGTGGGGGCGCAGAAATGGGTTTTGATGAAATTAAATGTTTTTAGTGATGAGTGAGGCTTGGAAACACATCCTGTTACCGGGCGCCAAACACACCAGTTACGCCTCCGCTCCCCCCCCATTAATATCTCTACTGGAAGTAAGTAAACACGCCTCTCCAGATTTAAACCATAAAAGTCAACCAAATCTGTGTACTCCTATTTTCGGCAAAACATGCCCGGATCACCGGTAAATGACTTAATGGCCCTCACACAATACACCTGAGGACGAGTCAGCTATTGGGAGATAAAGCCAGACTTGATTGAGCCCAACCTGGGAATGACCCACTTCCGGGATGTGACCTACTTTAAGGTGAGGCCAAATATTTACCAATGCATTACTTCAACTCGGTGTGTCATTTATTTTTTTACTGTTGGCATGTCATTGTGACCACTTGCACTGTTAAGCGGTGCTCAAATGGTTATCTAGGCATGTCGTGTATTATGAGAGCGATATTTGAAATACTTATGATAGAAACGTAGATCTAAGGAAATGACAGATCAGCAGAGAACTTAGAGTTATATGGATATGATGCTTACTATCATGCACTACCATATACTGTCATACACAAGTTACCTGGCTACCAAAACAATATATTTATGTTGTAAGGTCCGAAAGACGAACTGATGCTTTTCTGATTTAAAGAATTCAGATCAAGTCACAAACGGTCTGCTGTCATCAAAATAGTTTACAAGTTCCCATTATGTCAGTCTGCTCTGTAGCTAGATATTTGATATTTTATTGATGAAAATGTCTTCTCACGCAAAAAGGTAGTGACAAGACTGATAAGCATTTACAGAGGTAAATCAGTTTTCCTTCTTTCTTTCTCTCTTAATATATGTATATATAGATATAGATATATATACATATTTAATTTCAGCTGAAAGCTAATTAAACACGTTTTGGAATATTCATATTTATAATCATAATCATATTCATTTCACGGGCATCGAGATCGATGCAATAATCATGAATCTGCTCTCTCAAGTTTGCAATGCCTTACTGCGTGTTAATTGCCATTTTGCTCATGACGAGGATTCTTCTCAGCATAGGAACTGAATGGCGCGGCCCGTGATTAAAACATAAATTTGCTTAAAATTTAAATTCCACATTGTTTAAACTAAGAATTAGTTTGGGGCGAAAACTCCATATTATTTATACAAACTTAAAACTATTTTCCATGGGAGAATTACACCAAGTTGAACATTGTTGATTCTATTTGGTGGAAAGTGATATGCATATAGTTTTCAAACATGTGCTGATTTATGTTGATACTTACTTTGTGGATAAAAATGATATTATTAATTGAGCTCATTAAGCTTCTGTCGGGTCGGTTAAATCGAAGCAACGGGCCGAATTCTTCCCGCGGGCCGTTAGTTTGCCTACCCCTGACCGAACGTATCATCAGGAGGGAAATCCCCACAATTAAAAAAAAACCAAGGGTATAAAAATAAACGGTTCTTTAAAAAATAGAAACAAATTTAGTGAAATAATAATTGAAAAACATTTTGGCTCGTGGAAACACAATTATTTTGTAATAATGCAAGAATTAAAAAAAATTATTAAAATTCTTATTATTAACATTATTATTTTTTTTAAACAATATAACATTAAATTTGAAGGGGAACTCTAAGGTCAGGGTTACACTTTTTTTCTAAATTTGACTCAATGAGTAAGACCTACAACCAATAACAAAGGAGCCACACATCCCTATTAATAAATCCATGGACCGACTGAGCGTGAATGGTCCGATGATATTTCTATCACAAACATGTTTACTGCTAGTTGGAGGAGGAGCTATATTTAGACATCAAGAAGTAGAGCGGATATGAACTGGATCACTTTTCCATCCATATCCGTTCAAATGTGATCAAACACAACACAACAGGATCCAATGATTCACAGGGCTCCTGCAGTGGGAAAAACAAAAACTCATGCCGGAATAAATGAACCAGAGAACAATCCCATGGAAGTCATCGTAATGGTTTTGTTAGAGTAAGGGACGGAACCGTGGAAAATATTTCTCGATAACTCTTGTGATTTATTTTCCTTTAAACATTTATTACTGAGTCTCTTTTAAATTTCTGTTAGGAATGGTTTAAGACAGGGGGGGGGGGGGGGGGGGGGGGGGGGGTGGGTAAATCGCGGCTGGCCAGCCGCATGCGGCCCTTTAGCGACCTGAGTGCAGTTTACAAATTGGTTTTGATTCCGAAAAAATGGCTCTTGAAAAGAAATTGTGCTCTCAACATTTTTTAAATCGTCTTCCTGATGAAATTTTACTCTTTCATTTCGAGGCAGTAATAATCAGCATCAGAGGATTGTTAGGGCTCTTAGATACAGCTTCACGTAATAATTAATTTTTTTTTTTTTTTTTTTTTTTTTTTTTTTTTTTTTTTTTTTTTTTATTTTATTTTTTTTTTTTGTCAACTATTTTTTTTTTTTTTTTTTTTTTTTTTTTTTTTTTTTTTTTTTTTTTTTTTTTTTTTATTTGTTGTTGTAAATTAACATAATTCTTTTGCGACACAGATGATGATTTGGCTCAACCTGTATTTAAAATGTGATACCAACCCTTGAACAATCGCTCTCGAAGCATCCTTTTAGCCTTCATAGCTTCACAAAACCTGTTTTAGTGCAGCAGCTCCATCCCGTATTATCTTAGTTTATTAATGCTAAAATCAATCAGTGGCGTGATGAATGTGTTGCCTAAAGGTGTAAATTCCAAGCTTCATGATTGCAATGCAATCGCCAGCAAAAGCCTAGAAAAGCAAAACTATAACACTACAAGCAGCCCTTGCGGTTGGGATCCTCGACAAACTTGGATGGCAACTCCTCTAAGAGAAGGCAAACCCTGTTTTTTTTTTTTAATTTAAATTTTTCTATTTTTCTAACTACCATTAAAATATGTGCACGTCCTAATTAAGTCTGATAGTAGCGAAAGTAATAACACCAACGTCATTCGAATAGATAAACAACCATTCAAAGTGGGTTAGATATCATTGGACGTGCATCAGCATGTACGGTTCAGCCCACGCTATCGCTGTATTGATAACATTACCTTCGTCTGTAGCGAGGTGTCTCTATCGACATAGAAAGTGACAACGTTTGTGATCACGCTTGTTCATTAAATCCATGGTGGATAACATCACCTCAGATTCAGAGCTAAGCCTCAAGTATTTTTGTGATTTTTAAAGTGTTTTTTGTTTTTGTTTCTGGTTTATTTTCTCTTACGACTGACATCTCAACAACATTTATATCTTCTACATGGGAGTCAATTGGATTTAACAACGGGAGTTAAATATACCAGTGTCTCGTAATGCAATTTGAAATTCATTAATAGCGATATGACGTTTATATTGCTTACAATTAGATATTCAATATGAACTTCCAATATTACTGAGTTCTCAGCGCCGTCTGTAGGAGAAGTCGATTGAAATAATCATGACACGGAACCAGCTTGTATTCAAGACAACTGTCACTGTCTTAGTTGTGGCAGTGTTTTGTTTCTTGCCCGTTGTGTTATTTTGGAAGTTTTCGTGCCGTGATTCGCCGCTCTCAAAAAAACCTGCCGGTAAGATGGGGCCTTGTGGACCTCTGGCCTTCACGCGTCTCCGACTTCCGGTCACAGGCCTGGCCAGTTTCCCTGGGTCAGGTAACACGCTGTTGCGGTCATTGATTCAAGAATCGACAGGTAAGGGATAGTTTAATGTAAACATAAGGTGATGTGACTAGGTGACGTGATGAGGCGACGTGATGAGTGATTTGACTAGGTGACGTGATGAGGCGACGTGATGAGTGATGTGACTAGGTGACGTGATGAGGCGACGTGATGAGTGATGTGACTAGGTGACGTGATGAGGCGACGAGGTGAGTGATGTGACTAGGCACCGTGATGAGGTGCCGTAATGAGAGATGTAATTAGGTGACGTGATGAGGTGACTGATGAGGTGACGTGATGAGTGATGTTACTAGATGACGTGATGATTGATGTGACTAGGTGACGTGATGAGTGATGTGACTAGGTGACGTGATGAGTGATGTGACTAGGTGACGGATGAGGTGACGTGATGAGTGATGTGACTAGGTGACGTGATGAGTGATGCGACTAGGAGTCGTGATGAGTGATGTGACTAGGTGACGTGATGAGTGATGTGACTAGGTGACGTGATGAGTGATGTTTAATAGGTGACGTGATGAGGTGACGTGATGAGTTGACGTGATGAGGTGAAGTGATGCGTGATGTGACTAGGTGACGTGATGAGTGATGCGACTAGGAGTCGTGATGAGTGATATGATATGGTGACGTGATGAGTGATGTGCCTAGGTGACGTGATGAGTTATATGATATGGTGACGTGATGAGTAATTTTACTAGGTGACGTGATGAGTGATGTGATATGGTGACGTGATGAGGTGACGTGATGAAATGCCATTATATCCTCAATTCATTTAACTGTCTTAAAACATTGGTTAACATTTTGTTTTGATTAATTTTTTAAAAGACTAATTTGACTATTATTCCTAATCAGAAAGTGACGCATTCGCCACTAAGCCCCTGGTGTACTACTCCACAAAAAAAATCAAATTTCCACTCCTCTTTACTGTGTTTTTGTCTGGTTTTAGCGCACTCTCCTATTTTTTTTTCTTCTTTTGGTAGGATATGTATATTGATATTATGTACATTTAATTTATACTTATTTAAATTTTGTTTGTTTGTACTGCTGAAGGCATGTACCGAAACGTTTACTTGTGTTTAATATATAATTATTATTAAAGCGTAACCTATATTGTTATATTGACACAATTTGTTCGTGTCTTATTAATCTACTCTCAAATTTAGCCTAATTTTAATACTGTGTGACTTCTCTTCTTTAACCATCGATTTTTTTTTTTTTTATAAAAGCTACTGTTTTGTACCAACACAAACACAGGCATTTTGACCGGAAGTGAGTATTTGGATCAAGAGCTGGCCACGAGCGGGTTTCACGGAGAAGGGGCGACTGTGCACCACAACGGTTCTCACGTCATTCTCATCAAGACCCACGGCAGCGACGCTGGTACGCGGGAACGCTACGACCGTCTTATACTTCTCGTACGCCACCCAAAGGGAGCGATCTTGTCAGACTTTAACAGGGTGTACGGAGGCGGCCATCTGGGGAGGGCCACGGGAGACCAGTTCAAATGTGAGAACTACAAATTTAGGTCGGGTGTTCGATGAAAAAACAGAAAACCAGTTCGCTTTTATTCTGTAGAGCAGTTGTCCTCAACCTTTCTAATGCCGCGACCCTTTATTATAGTTCCTTATTTTGTGGCGACCCCCCAACCACACAATTATTTTCGATGATACTTCATAAGTGTAGTCTATGTGTTTTCAGATGGTCTTAGGCGACCCCTGTGAAAGGCTCTTGCGACCCCCAAAGGGGTCGCGACCCACAGGTTGAGAACCGCCGCTGTAGACGTTATAGTGGATTTAAGTGAACAGTTCATGAATCCGTTTAAAAAAAAAAGATTATTACATTAGATTCATAAAAAATACACTGGAAAGCTTTTAATGAAAGTATTCACCTTACGAAAAGCTTATCAGCATACTTTAAAACTAAACATAGATATGTGGTCAGAACCTAACACGAGTTTATACATATAGTTTAACCACGAAGTCAAACTAAAATTTCACTACAGATACTAGAAAAAGGAATCGTCACGTCTTGTATCGGTTATTTTATAAATATACGATCTGTTCAGTTATTTGCGCAGGAGTTAAGTCAGACATATCATACACCAGTAGGTAGTCGAGTCGTTAATAAAATATGTACTTTTTTGGTAATTAATAATGCTACTACTAATAATACTAAGCGGTCTTATATAGCGCGGTACCCCAGGCTCACCGCGCTGTACATAAGAATATTATCAAAAGAGACATAAACATGACATTAATGAAATACAATTATGAAATTTATGAAATAAAGAACAGCAAAAAAAATGTATATTCACCCACCCCACCACATAACTTTTACAAGGCAAACCATGGACGGCAGCCAGGAAGACCGTTTATCAGTCAGATGAGGGGAATCAGTCAGATGAGGGGAATCAGTCAGATGAGGGGAATCAGTCAGATGAGGGGAATCAGTCAGATGAGGGGAATCAGTCAGAGGAGGGGAATCAGTCAGAGGAGGGGAATCAGTCAGAGGAGGGGAATCAGTCAGAGGAGGGGAATCAGTCAGAGGAGGGGAATCAGTCAGAGGAGGGGAATCAGTCAGATGAGGGGAATGAGTCAGAGGAGGGGAATGAGTCAGAGAGGGGAATCAGGCAGAGGAGGGGAATCAGTCAGAGGAGGGGAATGAGTCAGATGAGGGGAATCAGTCAGAGGAGGGGAATCAGTCAGAGGAGGGGAATCAGTCAGAGGAGGGGAATCAGTCAGAGGAGGGGAATCAGTCAGAGGAGGGGAATCTGTCAGAGGAGGGGAATCAGTCAGATGAGGGGAATCAGTCAGAGGAGGGGAATCAGTCAGATGAGGGGAATCAGTCAGAGGAGGGGAATCAGTCAGAGGAGGGGAATCAGTCAGAGGAGGGGAATCAGTCAGAGGAGGGGAAGCAGTCAGAGGAGGGGAATCAGTCAGAGGAGGGGAATCAGTCAGAGGAGGGGAATCAGTCAGAGGAGGGGAATCAGTCAGAGGAGGGGAATCAGTCAGAGGAGGGGAATCAGTCAGAGGAGGGGGAATAAGTCAGAGGAGGGGGAATCAGTCAGATGAGGGGAATCAATCAGATGAGGGGAATCAGTCATAGGAGGGGAATCAGTCAGAGAAGGGGAATCAGTCAGAGGAGGGGAATCAGTCAGATGAGGGGAATCAGTCAGATGAGGGGAATCAGTCAGGGTAGTATAATTTAAAAAGATGTGTTTTGAGTGCACTTTGAAGGCCTGGGTGGTTGGTATATAGCGTATGTGTAGTGGAAAAGAATTCCATTGTTTGGGGGCGCAGAAAGAGAAAGATCGTTCACCATATGTTATAGTATGTGTCTTTGGAATTAAGCGGGCTACGTCGTTATGAAGTTATAAATATTAATCAATACAGTATGATAAATATTTGGGGCGTCGTGGGACATTTTCTGAGAGCTGACGGACCACACGTGGCCCGCGGGCCGAGTATGGGAACCCCTGCTCTAGCATATAAATCAGCCATCAGTGGACCCCATTAGTGACAGTAATGAATTAATTAGTGATCATTTAGATTTGGTTACCGTTGGGGCAGCACGCTCGGAAACTTGTACATACTGGGAGATTTAAAAAAAAATCTTTTGGTCCTTACTTTAAGAAAGAGAATTTGAATATAAAAATGGTTTACATATGTCTGATTGCCATTTTATTAACCCACCCCCTTCACATGGGGTTCCATTCGAAGATTTAATGTGTTCATTTCTTTTAACATTATTCCATAGACTGGCCAGAATTTTTTCAGCTGCATCTCACAGCCTGGGGCAGTTTCCATAGGGATTGGCTGACCTTTAACAAATCAACACTGGTCGTATTTTATGATGATTTAATCTCCGATCCCGTGGTGCATCTGAGAAAGGCTTTAAACTTCCTACGGGTAATTTGCGTTAGTAAACCTTACTGCGTTGTCGTTATGAAGGCATGCATTTCCCATTCTTTAATTTGCCCACGAGTACTCAGTTCGTTTAATTGATTTTTTTTTAATACTCGATTTGATTATGATTAAGCTTTTTAACCATAGTATACACATAATTCTACAATTTACGGAACAAATCTAGCTACCACACTTTTACACGCCACTGATGTTTCGAAACACACGTAAACACCAATCTCTTCAACACCTAAACCTCAATACACTGCTCCTGAAAAAAATCCACCAATCTTAGCACCACCATTTCAAAACTAAACCCACAAGTCCACATCTCTCTGGCCACCACCACCACCACACTACAACCACAAAAGAACCACACTACAACCACAAAAGGACCACACTACAACCACAAAAGAACCACACTACAACCACAAAAGGACCACACTACAACCACAAAACCCCACCACCCCCCCCACCCCTCCCAAAACTCCCCCGAACCGCTTACCGCCCCCCCCCCCCCGGCCACTCCAAGAACAGAAACATCAAGACATTCTTCAGCACCATTTATGAGTCTGCATTCATAATTCACAACTTCCTAACGTCACATTACATCACGAAACATAACATTACGTGGTTTATATTTGAATTATAAATATTTATTAAGTCGTCATTGCTTCATGTACAGCATCAATTTATAGAGCTAATGAAAATATTGTCATATCATGAATGTGATACATTTGTATTCTTATGAGCTGTCCGTTCCATATCAATCTCTTATATGTATGTTTTGCTTCTGGTGTGTCCTGATGCCTTTTCGAAACCGCCCTATCCCAGCTCCCCATGCTTTATAGTAATAGTAATGAGGGACAAAAAAAGGCCGTCACGCGTGACGTGTGAACACAAGTCTTCAGGGAAGAGGCGACTATTGTATCAATCAATAAAGAACCTTGGGTGTGGAGTAGGATTGTATGTAGGTGTTTTGTTTAAAGGTCGACAGGTAAGGTGTAGGGCTATCTTTAGGCCTATTTCTCAAATACCCGAAACAGGTGTATACAAAAATGCACTCGGTTCCAGTGCCCTATATATATATAGCCATTTCTAAAACTCTTGATGTCGACGCCAAAAGGGATCGTTGGGGAGCAATGTTAAGCTTAACCAAAAAAAAAAAACGTTCAAAACCAACTGACATGGTTTAGTGAATCTTGTCGGTTAATGAATTTTCAGCTTTCATAAAACATATTGTATAACAGAAATTTGTAAATTTGTGGGTGTACGAAAATAACAGTGCAAAGCTGATTGAATTAGCTTTGGAAAAAAAATCCAAAATATCCCCAAAAAACCAAATAAAATTTAAAATAATGTTAGAAATGATATTGAACATGAAGGTTTTTTTAAAAATATGAATGACATACACCATTTAACCTTAGATCGCTCGTACAATGAAATATACATGAAAAGGTGTTATAGTGACCTCTTCATTCTTTATCTGCAGGTGAATGTAAGCGAGTCAAGGCTTGCGTGCGCCATTGATCAAAGTCTCAGGTACCGAAGGTCAAGGTCAAGACGCCAAACCCAGCTTTACAGCCCAGCGGATCAGCAGAAGCTGGACGGAGTTTATAAAAACATAACTCAAGAAATCTCACAGCGTTTCTGTTTCAGCGGAAGCTTGTAACGCAATCGACTTTCTGGACATGTCGACCAGAAGTATCAACATAATCCACCTGCGGCTGGTTCTGGGTGGGCTTCAAGACAAAGCGTTGCTCATAAACGCCTAAACTTAAATAGGATGGACATATTTCTAATACAACTCAATGGACAATAAGACAGGTTGGACAAAAAACACGAAGAATTGTCCACTTTATTTTGGATTGTCCTTTTTTTCCACTTTATTTTGTATTGTCCTTCTTTTTCCACTTTATTTTTTATTGCCCTTCTTCGTCCACTTTATTGTGTATTGTCCTTTTTTCCCACTTGATTTTGTTTTGTCCATCTTCGTCCACTTTATTTTGTAAGGTGCCTCGTTGGAGAAGACTTTGAGAGCAAAAATACAGAGACAGAAAAACGCAGGAAGTAGATAAGCAGTTGACAGTTCTCTCTTATAATATCTTATTTAATGACATTTTTCTACTTTTGTCCTTTCTTTTTCTTTTTCGTTTCCTGCAAATCTCATGAGTGATGTTTTTTTTATTTCATGGGGCCCTTCAGAAATTAAATTATCTCTACCATTCCGGTCAACAACAGGCTTTCCTCTATCCGGTGTCTATTTCTTATTTTTAAGACCTCAACACAGTCCTCCTCGTATTTCTCGTAAAACTCAAGTAACGCAAGATTTTTGTTGTAAAAAAAACAAACTAAGGAGCCCCCCCCCCCCCAAACAAAAAAACAACCAGCAACCAGGGGCACGTAAGATGTGTCTTGATCGATCGTACAAGAAGGTGCTATGGCGAAATGAGGTCGAAAGACATGATTTTAAGAACCATCAAACGTTTGAGTGACAGTAAGATTTGAGTCCAATCAAGTTAGCCTTTTTGATCAGGTTCTCAAATCGTCAACACACTACGCGTACGCTATCTCTTGAAATTGTTCTCATTGCCATTATAGATGAAAGGCATCGGCCGAAACGTTTACTTGTGTATTATGTAAAATTATTATTAAAGCTGAACATATCTTGTTATATTGACACCAAGTGTTCGTGTCTAATGAATCTATTTTAAAGCCTTTTTTTTTTTGCAGCCCAACACCATTATATAAAACATGTTCTGACAAGTTGGCAAGAGGTCGCCAAAACTTTCGTTGGCGAAATATCCGAGCGAGATCAATAGAAATGTCGCCACTTGGTGTTTTAAAAAAAAGCTTTTCTTTGCTTTCAACGTTATGGATTATAAATGTGATCCCTTAAGCAGGGAGGTTTCACACTTTTCTCGTCAATTATATGTGTCAACGCATGACAATATAAACACACAAAAAGTGCCACGCAGACCTTACCGCGACACCCTTCCTTTGCGAATAGTCAAATAGTTTTCTTAATTCAATTTAAAAGTTAGAATATTTATTTCAAACTTTAATATCCAATAGAGTTATAGTTGCATTACAGCCTAATGGTTCCATCTCACTTTACAACAAACAAACAAAAAGCATGTAAAAAGAGAAAAAAATTTTTTAGTGGATATTCATTCAGCTTGGTGGTTCAGTGTATTATGTTATTGACTGGCGTTCAATTCCTGACAAGCATATTTTCCTATTTAGTACTACCCTTTAACCGACACCAACTTGATACACAGATTTAGTTCGGTCTTAAGGGTTGGCTGTCTGAATTCAATACTGACGTCACTTAACAATTAATTTTTAAAATTTTTTTTAAAAGCGATATCTAGACTTTGGAATGGTACATTTTTAAATTATTTTTTTTCTGAAATCATTAAATGATCGTTGACCAACATACCCCGGTACTGTTGTAGACAGAAATAAACGAATGTATGGTTAATTTTCATTATGGAGCACCGTATGCGGTCCTTTGAGAACATTACACAATTCAACCATTTATTTACTTCACATAGCGTACAAATTCGTACTGATTGTCACCTGCGATGACTTTAAGTGTGAATTTTGTCTTATTTTTAACTCCAGGATGATGCAGCTTGGCACCAGTGACGTCGCAGGAGTTGTCGGAATGTTTCATTGTATCAATGTTATCCGCCTTTCGGGACTCCATCTCCGGGTTTGATTTCAGAGTTTCCTTCTCTTAGATGAGTTGCCGTCCAAGGTTGACGAGTCTCATCTTCCCGGGGTGCTGGTGGTGTTTTTGCTTGACTGGGCTCTGGCTGGAATTGAACTCCAGACCACCAACTTGAGATTTGCTCAGTTTAGACCATTCGGCCCCCCAGCACCAATCTTGCTTTAGTAAACAGTTAATTGAAAGAAACTTACCAGCCCAACGCAATGTTTTATGACCTAGGAAGTTCTTCTGTCTACCTTATTTGCAATATATGAAAAAAACATACATTGGAAATGGACAAATGGCATGTCAAAAAATATCCATGGGCTGGGCTGGTTATGGGGTAGGGTTAAATTTGATATTTAAAAAAAAAAAAAAAGATGTATAATAAATGGATTTATTTATTATTCTTCGTCTCGGGCTTTCGCAACTTCAAGTGGAGAGAACGCCACTGACGCCTTTCACGTATTGAGGACTGTTTCAATCTTCTCTAACTCTTTCCAACTCATTCCGATCTTTCGTACACCCTATTCTATCTCTTCTGGCCAGTTGTTTTGGGTCTTCCCTGTCCTCTTGATCCTTTCATAGAATTTAAAAAAGTATGTTCAACAAAGATTTATTAGTTAAATTTCAAGTTATTTTGAAACGAATTGATCACGTTTCACTTTCTCTAAAGATATTCCCCTCTGTAGCAGTCAGACAGCAGTAGTTCATTTGAGAGGATTGATATTTTTTAATTAATTATTTTTTTTACCCAAGACAAACAATACTTCCATATGAACTTCTTAGAACGTTGATTTAACATTTAAAAGAACAAACGCTTTTGAGTCCTAGGTGAGCACGCCGAGAGACGTCATGGGTTGTATGCGTGGCGTTTGGCGATATAACACTATGGCGATTCTTACAACGCGCTCAAATATCACTTCATTTGTCTCATTGATTAATACCTGTGTGTTTCAGATGTCGGGAAACTCTCTTCCTGTGTTCAGAGTGTAGGAAGTGGTTGAAGGTTAGCGACAAAGTTGTACAGAAGACGACGATTCCCTCCCTTCACTGTGTGTAGTGTGATAGATAAAGGGAAAACAATAATTTCGTGTTTAAAAGTGTTTTTTTTTAAAAAATGAATTAATTATAGTTATTTTTTTCGAAAGTCTGAGGTAAGGTTTAAGTAGTCACGCGAAGCACACATACGACGCGGCCTAAGGTAAAAGATCTACTAACGAAATAGAATAATGACTGGTCTAATTATCTCTATATTAATAGACAAATAACTGCAAAGAAATGTGTAGTTATGGCTATCTTTACAGAACAAACACAGCTAGATGATTAAAGACTCCAAACAATATTCGCAACTTGTAATGTTACACCCTCACATCCTCCAATTATATCTTTAGTAATTCGATACATGCTCATTATGCAACGATGGAAGCTAATGTTAGCGGATTAAATATCTCCCCTGACTTCACGATCAACACGATCCCATTAACGATCTCCATCTTAAACTTCACGGTAAGCTTCTGCCTTCTCGTGCAGATATTACGCCACGCCTTTCTCCACACAACTGTCAACGCCTTCATGGCCAGCCTTTGCACCTGCAACTGCATAACTGCTGCCTTGGGGCTCATCTACGCCTGGCCCTACGAGCTGATCGTCCACCATACTGCTTGCCTGCTGGTCAACTGCGCCTTCTGTTCGTCGTTCATCGTCATCTTCCTCCACTTCATGGCCATAAGCATTGAGCGGTACCTACAGATCGTCCATCCTTTTGCCCACCTGCGCCTGACCACGTCAATGAGACCCACATCGCTGGCATTAACTCTCTTGTGGGTCACTTCTTTTCTCGTAGGATACTCTCCCTTTCTGGTTCATCTCAAACCGAGCTGGGGCGCCCGATGCCCGATGCCCGATGCCTTTTTGCACCGTTCGTTATTCCTTTCTGGTTGTTTTTTCTCATCTACACCGGTGTTCTAATGGTAGCCACGACAACTTCCGGAATCTTCTATTTTAAACTTTACTCGGTAGTCAGGCGTCACATGAAAGCTATTCAGTGGCAAACGAGAACTTCAGACGCTGCCGGATACACCTCAAATATACTTTTAGAAAATTCAAACGATTCTATCTTAATTCAGGCCAACTCTTCTAAGTCAAGTGGATCAAAGCTAAAATCTGCCATTTCATTTGTTATCCTCTACTTATACTACTTTATGTGCTGGGCCCCGAATACTGCAGTAAAGTCGTACGAGGCTTACACTGACCAGCTGGTTAGCCCCAAAGTCCTTGACGATGCCGTCAATATCATAGTCCTCCTGAGCCCTGTTGGACACTGCCTGCTGTTCATGCACCTGGAGAAGGACGTTAGGCGGGTGACGCTGGATAAGTTGTGTTGTAGGAGAAGGTGAAGAAGAATCCGGTCCGGTGGGTAGTCAGACTACGCAGGTACTGTAGGGCACTGGACGTACTTATTTTGAGGTTCGAGTTAAAGTATTAGAAATAATTTTTGATGCAGAAAAAGAGCGCAGTGAAAATATGCATGTTGTGTACTGGGCGCAAACACAGTGTTCGCCAAACATATCAGTACTGAAACTGCCGCATCTATGCACACATTTTGTACCGTCGATAGACCAGTTTCCAAACAACAAATGGCCAACGTATGTTCCTTTCCAATACTACAAATATATGGTGGCTTGAGCAAAGCACAAGTGACATTCGCCAGATACGCATTCAAGATTCGGGTTTTTCAGTTCAGTACTGCTACTTTTGTATTTACAATAAAAGCATCGTGGCAAGTAACGCATTAATGTAGCAGGCTAAATGTCAAATGAAAACACAATACGGTTTAAGAATGACTTTTGTTCGTCCGTAGTCGTCAACAAAAGAGGTTGTAGAATGTGACGTTGAATGATTTCAGAAATCAATAAATTACACAGGTGGGCGTATCGAGGAAATATGGCACCCTAATCACTAGCAAAATGTGTGCCCCAATTACCAATTAAGTTAACGAAGTGTAATTTTAAATCATTTAGATTTACACTTTAGTGCGGCACGCCAGCAATATACGCAGATCAGTGAGCAGCATTAGGTTTATGGTTAGGGTTAGGCTTTGCAATAAGGTTATACGCCCATGCTCGATGCCATGTCCATTGAGTCCATTGATCATTTAGTAACAGAAAGGGGCAGTTCAGAAACAGACGTTTCGGTTAAATCTAATGTATAAACTGTCTTTCATAACAATAAGTGGAATATTTTTTTTTTTTTTTTAAATTTTGTGTATTTTTGAAACAGCATTACATTTAGAATGCCGAGACAAACTGCAGAGACTACCTTTACAGTATGGCACTGGAATCTTTATTGATTTTGAGAACGTAGGCAGAATGCAACGGGGGCTTTTTAAATTGGTGTAAACCACAACATATCTACCAGCACTTAAAGTGTATAAATTTTACTTGTTTGATTTCGATAATTTTCATAGCTACAATCGCCATCGTTGTGTCTCTGGAATATCTTCACGCGATCAATCCTCCTATCAAAATCCTCTGTTTCGTGAAGAGCAACTTCGTATAATGGTGTCCAAAACGTAACGTGGCAAATGCAACACTAACTGATTCTGTCACTTTTGCTCGAACAATGATGTTGTTTTTTTGTTCCATACGAATCAACGTTTCTATGGACGTATAGAAAACAAAGAGAAAAAACCTGCTTCCTTCAAAACCACCGCTTTCCGCATGATTCCATTATATAAATGAAACTTGCGAGAACCCGGCATGCGTTGAAATGCCACTGAAAGAAGAAAAAGTGTTGGTGTTTTATAATTCGTTTTTAAGTAATTTTAAATAGATAGATCAAATCAAATAGATACATTTTTTTATTGTTTTTTTTTCCGTCTGGTGCGTACAAAAATAAATAAGAAGGTTTCTCGAAGCGTCAGCAGGCAACATACAGCTGTGTACGTGAGAAACATGTTTTTTTT